ACAGAACTTCCCCCTCCACTCGCTCTAAATGATTTACATTCGGTATAATGAAAACGGGACGACAAATCGGGAATTTGTTGTTAGTTACATTATATAAATTACCTATGAGCTTTTCAACGGTGTAACTATGGTATTTTTTGGATTAACAGTAAAAAAGATACGCTCATAGCAACGAGTTGACATTCTCCTTCTCGCGATTCACATTATGAAGTCGGAGAATCAAGTTGTAACGTTAGCAGGGCCGCTCCAACTGAGCCTCATGTCCAACGTTGAAGTGTTGCCACCAGTGCATTTGAATGTGGGTTGTGATGTTGTTATGGAGAACCACGGGAAATGTTCTTCACGTTAAATCACTTATTAGAATGAAACGGAAAATCGACTCGGTGTTCTATTTTGTTTTCTCTCGTCGGAAATTCGAATTCCATCCCGCCATATCTATATTCGTATGCTGCCCTCGGACGTAAAGATAGTTTATGCACTGTTTGTGAGGTTATCGGTTTATGTTTGGAATGTGACAAAAGTGAGATGTGTCGAAAGTATTGTGTGATCAAGTATTAAATGTCCGTAAATCGTTAAATTCGAAAAGAAAATATTTATTTTTCTCCGAGTGTAACAGAAAATGTTTACATTCCGTGGAAAAAAATTCTCTAAATTAAGTGACAGTAAAATGCGAACAATTTTGTGATTATTTAGGAAAAATTAGTAGGAGACGGTGGGATTAAATGGATACTTTGAACCCTTTTTAAAATGTTGATGTCTTATTGATGTGTTGATGAAATAGATTTTTTTCAAAATAAAAGTAGAGTCAGCCCCTTTGTCATAAGCTTAGACTGAGCTCAATCGATAAATTTGTTCCTTGGTTATAAATATTGAAATAAGGAGTCAGAAGAGTCCATTCCACCCAATTTTTCCCTAATATTTTTAAAAACAACAAAAAACAAAAACAGATGTTTTCAAAAAGAATTCTTTGTGAACATTTTGTTCGACTATTTCTATAAGGAAATCAATTCATCTCTCCAAGAAATACAATCCACATAGGAATCAGTAGAGCAAAAATGGAATGAGGAACCAAATCAAGTCAGAAAATTATTAATAGATGATTAAAAATTGAAATTCGGTGGAGTAGAACTGTTTATTTCCCTTCAATTGTTGATTCAAAAAATATTCTATCTTATGAAAAATGAATGAGGTCAATTGAATTGAAAAGAACAAATTTCATCGGATGTAAAAACAGTCCTTGCTTACTTTGAAAAAAATAATGAAATCTGCCTAAAAACAAAAACAAAAGTTTTTGTAAAAAAACTGGGCCAAGAAAAAGTTTCGTTTGATTCCTACTGGGAAGACGAAGTTTTTGAAGAATACATAGAAATAAAAAAGGAAGCCAAGTCAGTGATAGTGCACAATCAGGTATTTATAAGGAAAATAGTTCTCAATGGAATAAGTATTCTAAAAAAATTCAGGACCAACGTTATTGGCGCGGAGTTTTTTAACTCACTGTCTATATCAATCTAATCCTCCATCCTTTGATACGCGTCACACCCATAACAACAATCCATGGTAACCATTCGAACTTCATTCCTCTCATTCTCATTCAAGGGGAGGGTAAGTGGATAATTTGATTAACTCTATCGCAACACTGCTTCCCTTCCCCAAGTTGTCGCCCCAACAACTTCCTACTAGAGCAGCTGATACTTTTGGAGTTCTTAACATCCCCAAAAGTCTCAGTATCAGGGGCTCATAGCTCCGTCTTCCAAGTCAAAAACTCGGAAAATTACGGAAAATTACAATTGGAAGAGGTTTGATCTCTCAAACATTGGAATCGGATATTCTCTATCATTTCCATTCTAAACGGTCCCCGAGAATTTCATTCCACTCATTCATTCTTATGTCATAACAATTTTAAAAATTTTAAAAGTTATCGCCATCTTCCAGTCAGATTCTTTTCTCTTCTGTTCGAGGAAATCTTGATTCCACTTCTTTTCTCTCTTTCTCTCTTTCGAGGAAACCCAATGATCCCATTAGTTCAATCTAAACAGACAAAATTCCAAACGCAAGTACAAGTAGAAAATTAGTTAGTCAATTGCCAAAGCTCTACAAAAAAAAGAACTACTACTGCTCAAGCCCATTTTTTAATTACAGCAACTAATTAAATCAAGCATTTGTATTCTATCTATCAGATTCGGCGTCCCGAGCAACCTGAGTCCCAAGGACATTACCTGAGGTATCATTTAAACCTCTCTGTTACTTAGCTAGGAACTATTCACAAGTAGAGAATTCGTCACGACTGGAGGATTCACATTCCCAAACTGGGAATTCCTCATGACTGAAGGATACGCATTCCCAAACTGCGAATTCCTCACGACTGGAGGATACAGATGCAGAGAGAGATTTAAGATCATAATGTTCCACCTGGAACCCAAACTGTACAAAAAAATAGTCTTCTATATACATCTTAACTCGTCATAATGAGCCAATCTATTTACATGAACTATTTTCAATTTTCCATGAGGGAATCTTTAAATTCTCTACACAAGGTCATTGATTTTCGTTCTTATAACATAAGGTCCGTCCCAATCTTGTTGCAATTTCGGTGATTATCTTTGAATGCGAGCATATGTGCTTTTTTATCGAAATTCGTTTTCAAATTATCACTCTTCACTTCCAACGTATTTCTTACGATGTCATGTACGTTATGAAGTCTTTCCTGAAGTTCAGATACGAATTCTGGAATGGTTTTGTGAGACGAATCATTTTTAGAAGGAACTTTTCCACGAATCAAATCTAAAGGTAATCGCAGTTCATGTCCTAATATTAGCATAGCTGGGCTGAATTCGGTTGTCTGATGTTTTGACGACCGGTATGCCAATAAAAATAATGAAAGCTATTGATCCCAATTTTTCTGATTGTCGGCGACACACTTAACCAAATAATTGAAAATCGTTTGGTTAAGTCTTTCAACCATTCCATTAGACTGCGGTCGTAAGGAGTTGTTTTCCTTACACCCAGTAATTTCATGACTTCATAAAAGACTTTAGACTCGAAGTTCCTACCCTGATTTGAATGTAATTCAAGTGTAATACCAAATCGTGAAAATACTTGGGTCACCAACGCTTCAGCCACAGTTGCGGCTTGATGATTAGGAAGAGCAATCGCCTCAGGGCACCTAGTAAAGTAATCTGTAATGACTAACACGTAACGATTCCCACGCGATGATTTAGGCAACGGGCCCAGGATGTCCGCAGCGTCTCTCTCAAATGGATTCCCGACATTATAAATTTGCAATTCAGCTTTTCCCTTCTGTTTAGGACCATTTTTAGCAAAGCAAGTTGTACACTTCTTGCACCACATTTTAACATCAGACTTGCAAGAATGTCAATAGAATTTTTTCCTGATCTTGGCCAACGTTTTGTTCACTCCAAAATATCCACCAGTTGTTGAATTGTGAGCTTCATTGAGAACTTGAGGGATGTGACTTCTGGGAATGACCAACTGGTAACAAATACTCATCTGATTTGGAGCTTCCCACTAGGGGAAAAGCCTGCCATCGAGTAATTCCAGTGAATCCCAATGAAGAAGGTACAATTTTATCTCGTAATCGAGATGAGAAACCGCTTGCCACTCAGGACGACGTCTTGTCTCCTTGCCGCGCACAACGACTGACAAAACCGGATCATTCAACTGAATTTCACGCCATTCACGTTCTTCCCCAGATTGACAAATTGTGCGATAGATTTTAACAGTTGATTCATCATTTTTCTTGTTCAATTTGTCGCATTTTTTATAATCACAGGGTCTCCTTGACAAGGCATCAGCGTTTCCGTGTTGTCGGCCAGGACAGTGGATAATTTCGAAATCGAACATGAATAGCGATTCGAGCCATCTTGACATCAATCCTTCTGAATTCTTGAATGACAATAATCACTTCAAGGCAGCGTGATTAGTTCTGATCAAAAATTTCCCACCAAGTAAATAATGATGAAAGTGTTCAACAGCCATGACAACAACCCATGGTAACCATTCGAACTTCATTCCTCTCATTCTCATTCAAGGGGAGGGGAAGTTGATAATTTAATTAACTCTATCCCAATAGTATTTTTCAAAAACTTCGACTTCCCAGTAGGAATCAAACAAAACTTTTTCTTAGTTTTACTTCCGAATGGAAACATTGTATTTGTCGAATCCAAAAATGCCAACATTTGTCTCAGGATAACTACTTTTGGGCTCAGGAGTTCGAATATGCAATTTTTAGACCATGTCCGGATGTATATATATGTATGTATGTGTGTGTATTGGTATGTGTGTGTATGGGTATATGTGACTGATCGTTTTTCGAGGATAACTGAAAAAATAATTGTTTAAATGAGTCTGATTATAATTTACAATATTCTTCTCAATGCCATTCTGACCAAGTTCGATCACTGAATTGATTGCATCATTTTTTGTTGAAAAAAAATCATTTTGAAACCAATATTGGCTGCCAACATTGAGGCAATGTCAATAAATTGAATACAATAAATCATTGAATTCAATTAAAATTTCATCGTTATAGAAATTCACATGCATTGCTAATTTATGAGCCAAAATATGACTATGTTGTGACTATGTTGTGACGAAAGAAATTAACCACTTTTATTTTATTCCACTCTTGACATCAAGTCAAGTTCATCTAATTATCAATCATTTCAACTATCTTTCAATGTTTAACATTCATCACCGAAAAATAGTTTCACATTCCCGTCATTATAAACCGATCCATGTGTAGAAAATATGCACTGATGTATTCAATGTATACACGATATTTGTTTCTTAGTTTAGGTTATAAGCAATAAGTCCACTTTATAATTCACGCGCTTTTTTAGACAGCGCCGTCGCGGTCGCATTGCTCATTCTTATGAAAGTTCACATGAGAATGCGTCCTTCATGCGCCGAAATGACACTTTTTACATGTCCTCCGCCGTGACAGTTTCCAATGCATGCTTTTCCTTTTTTACAAAGTTGATTGACAATGAATGATTGTTTTGATTGTTAACTTTTTATTCGTATCCTGATTGGTCGATGGATCAATCAATGGTTTCTATGACTGCGCGGTTGTTTATTTTTACATTTACATTGAACTGTGCGCAGTATCATGTTTGACTCGTGAAGTTAACCTTGTGTTGACAGAAGAATTTTGAGCATCTGCACTGCTGTCGTTCTCGAAGATTTATTTCCTTGATTAGGCGGAAGAGAAAGATCCTGCGCAACAGAATTACTACTGGATAACGTGACGTAAAGTGTCGGGTAAACGAGAGTTGTGTGAAAATTTTTGAGAGAACAGTGGCTGAGTGATGAGTAATTCATTTTTGGATGACATGAATTATTCTTTCACTCCAAATTGTGTGTTTGATGCTCTCCAATATCAACGAAAAGTGTAAGTAGTAATTCTGCAATCATTTAAGTGTTGAAGAAGGTCAATTGATGATTTTTTAGTGAATTGATCCAATCATCGATTTAATTCTGTTATAAAAGGAGAAAAATATCAAGCTGATCGATATCCTAACCTCACATGTCTGAATTTCCAATCATTATTAATTATTAAAATTCATGGAATCACGTTTTCTAGAGATTTTATTGGATTTGTGGAGCAAACAAATTCTCTCATTTTATCTGGTGGGCCGATAAAACGTAAATTATTGAGATTTACCGTAAATAATAGTCTCGGAAGGACGATTGACTACTGTCTGGAAGGCGAAACAGCTCAATATCATGTTGAACATATTATTCCAAATACAGTGAGGACCCACTTTTCATTATATCCGATAATCGTGGAAATCCATGACATAAATGAGATAAACTTTGTTTCATTTTGGAGCACCTGAAGAGAGCTCGAGAATGGAGTCAAGTTCACTCACTCTGCCCATTTTGATCCATTGTCATTCATTATCATTATCATTTTTAATGAGGAAAGAAGAAGATAGCGTGGTTAATTCAATGTAACTAAAAAAATACATGATTTGCAGATAATTTATGTTGAAGGAGCACTGTACTTGGAATAAACACCCATTTGAGGTTCCTGTTGGATCAAAACAGCATCATTAAACCACTTGGGAAATATTTCGGTCCCAGTGGAAATTCAACTCCAGTGTTTAGAGTCGTTGAGTGGAGTGACCTTCCTCTGAGTGAAGGTGCATTCGTTGGTGAGTTCTTCCGAGCTTTCAGCGAGTTAAAATTGTTCACTATACTTTCAGTGATGGTATTGATGACTTCATATTTCTTTTCAGCGTTACGAGGATTCGTAAAATTTCCTTTCAGACTAACTCAACAGAACGGGAACACATGCGCCGTGGGTGCTGTGACTGATGGATTTTTGAAACTGACAGTAAAAATTGCATCAATCGAAGGTTTATCAGGAAATTGGGAGAAAGGGGAATTGATTAAACTTCGTGGCAGAATATCTGAGGATGATGAAGTGGCAAAAAGATTGAGCATTGAAGTTACGAACGGATTTGCACTCTCGCGTTCAGAAGGTGCTCGATTATCTCTCGATCAAATATTGACAGTTACTAAGAATGTAGAAAAGGTGAGGTACTAAAAGTTTCTAATCGTGCCTTTTATTATTATTATTCAGGAAGAAATTTCTCTATCGTTCCAAGCTCACATCAATCTTAAATTTCCTCAAATTTTTCGACACGTTTCTAATTTTCTTGAAATGAAGAAAAAACGGGTTTGAATTTCATATGCCCCTGCAATCGTGGAATTCAATGCAATTATTATTATGATTTCGAATTTTCATTCCATTTAATTTATTTATTCTTTTATAAATTTCATTTTTGTTCATTTTTTTAATTCATCAATATTTTTGGTTGATATTATCATTTTTCAATTATTATTATTATTTCAATTTCTCTCTGATCACTTGAAGTAAGCTAAAGGTGAAAGCCTAAGCTCTGCTAGAGTGTATTGTTTTTCCAATCTTCATTTGTCGAATTATAAACAAATTCGTCATTTGACGTCGGGACAGCAAGGGGCACTCAAGTGACGAAGTATTTCAGTGATTAAAGATATTTATTTAATCCATTAAAAATGGCTACATTGACACCTTCTGAAGTAATCGACGGGTATGAGATGAACGATGACGTGTAAGTATTCATTTTTCTTTGAATTCCCCTCGAGAAAATTCAATGTGTGAATGAATAGGATTTTCCGTTTAATTCAAGCACCGTCGCCATCTTGACATCTTGATCAGAGAGAAATTGATATTATTTATTTAACCACTGAGTTCATAAATTTAATCATCTGATTGTATAATCCAAATATCCTTTTTTTTAAAATCTGTTCCAGAGGAATTATCGCTGTTGTTAGGAGACTCGATGCAATCAGAAGCGTTGGGAGAGTGAAGAAATTTACCCTCTTTAAATTTCAACTGGACAACATGAGAGGGAGACAGGTTCAGTGTTGTGCTTGGGGAGAGAGTGCATCTACGTGCTCTCAAATGGCCACATTGAACGCAGTAAGAGAAAGAAAAAAAAGAAATGTTTTCATATTTATGTTATTTAATTTATGTCATAAATGTTCATTTTTCAATGTTTTAATTCTTTTTTACCTCTATCTCGACAGATCCTCCATATTGAAGGAGCACGTTCCAAACTCATTGAAGCAAATCAAAGACAGTTCAATGGTGGTAACGTTAATTTCGAGCTCAATATGAACACCACAACAGTCCTGGAAAATGTAGGAGTTTCGTCAGATGATGTCAGAGAGGATATGCAGGTGTATACCCCAACTCGCTGGGAGGATCTCTCATTTTCAGCTGACCAGTTTATTGGTAAGATTTGAGTTTTTTATCTGGATTTGTTGCTCTTCAGGATGTCTTTTTTCCTCAATTTTGTTTGCCAATTCCATGTTTATCAAATGTATTTAACTCTTTCTATGTTTAAAATTTCTTTCGACATAACAAGGTTATCAAAAATTACATCCTTGGAATTTTTATATATTATTTTTTTTTCAATCATTTCAATGAATATGTATTTTTCGTTTTCATTGACATTGGAACTTTTTTTATTTCCCAATTTTTCCTCTAATCCAATTTTTTCCCATTCAAAACTTCTCTTTAGATTCGAATATTTCTATAAGTTTATCTTAGGTTCGTATTTCTGACACAATTTTCATTTTTTAGCTGTTGAAGCTTGGATTAAAAATGTCTTTCATAATGCTCAAATCGATGGCCATCCAGGAGCCACTGGCACTATTACAGATGGTCGTAGGAAGCTTCTTGTACGCGTTGTCAATGATGCTGGTCTAATTGAAGACATCGAAAGAGGTTTTCCAGTTGAAATTCGAGGACAGCTACTTGAAGAACCATATGTGCCAAATCGTCTGTTTCTCAGAATCCCATCTGGAGCACGCGTTGATCGCAGGGAAGGACAGCCCATCCCCTTTGAGCAACTGATTCTAATCAATGCCAATGTTCATCGTGTAAGCAGTGATCAACAAACTTTTGAATTAAAACAAATTTTTGCTCGGTTCTTCATTTGAAGGAAATAGATGATTTTCCTTTCTTTGTTTTGATTTTCAGGAAATTCGTCCTGCTGTACCAGTTGTTGAGCCAGTTGTCGTGCCAGTTGTCCAGCCAATTGTCCAGCTAATTGTCAAGCCATTCATTGATCCAGAGGCTGAACCAGAAGACGATGATATCTAATTAATTAATCGAAGGAGTAGCAGCACTTCGTTTTTTCATTGACAAAAATTTAATTTCGTCACTCTCCACGGTCTGAAGTCATTGAAAAGTGTTTCAAAATGATAGAAATTCGTTCTCATATTAATTTTGACATTAATGACTGTTCATTAATTGTTCAATTGATAACTAGATCCATCGTTCTCTTTATTTTGGTTAATCAATCAATTTCCCGGTAAATTGATGGGATTTTTTCCTTTTTTTGGTAGTTGAAGTCGAGACTTTAATGATTACCAGATACTTACCAATACCAGTTATTGATTTATTTAATTATTGATTTAATTAATGGAGTTACTGTCGTGGATTTTACCCTCAATACACTTCAGAGTGTCTTCTTCGCAAAATTCCATTTGCCTTTGGTGTATTTATTGATTTTAATGTATTATTTGCAAAATATTTAGTATTCAGAAATAAATGGAAAATTTCGTTCAATTTTTGTGTTCAGTAGAGGAGTGAAGAATCTTTAGTGTTGCAAAGAATATTCACAGATACACTGGGAAAGGAACAAATCAACGAGGTCAGAAAGAAGAAAATTGTGACGAGTAAAGATCCACAAGAACTATTGCTTTTTTCTTAATTTAAATGAAATTATTATTTCTTTGCGATTATTGTTGTTCAAGGAAACGGCAAATCCACAAAATTTTATGTTTGGTATTTGGATACACTCATTGGTGCGTTCGAGAGAGAGAGGCTAAGCCACTGGAGTTCCTAAAGTATCGAAGGGAATGATTCTCGGATATTTGCATTGCAAGAAATAATTATGATTATCATAATTGGAACTGAACACTGTTTGATTTATCTAACCCACTCTGAATCATTCTCAAGCTCAATAAAAAATTTTACTCTAACAATTGAACGATAATAGTCTGCGGCTCAGTATATAGACTGGCCAAAAGAGTTCCTGCACGAGGTTGCGCAACAGATGGTACCTTCTTATAGCTGATGATTCCAATGACTTAGAATTTTTCGATTCATTATTCCATTCTCAGGGAAATTCCTGGAATAATTGTCTATGGAAAATCTTCCTTTCTATCCTCTTCATATTCACCCCTCAAAAATATTCTTCTTCTCTTGAAAATGTTTCGAATGTTTCCTGGTTTATGACTAAATACATTGAAGTTTGTAGATTGATAGTTTATTGTTTCTTCGACTGTTTTCAAATAGTACATTCCTGTCTTAATTTCGAAACCTGGAAAAATCAAATTTCTCCGACTTTTCATTGATGGAATACGGAATAAAGATTATTCAATATAATTGTTAATTTCAATCAATTGTCAGTATTATGATTCATGATATTTCATGATATATGTTCATGATTGAAATGTATGTAATGAGTCTGTTCCAAGTTTGCGTTGAACTCGGTTACTGTGTTTCTACAGTTTCTGGAGGACAGCTCAGGTAATCCAATTGGATTTCTTCCCAGTTGACAAAGTGCATTGACAGAGCTCTGAAAAATGTGATATTGACTGAATAATCGAGGTATGATATTCTGCTCTAAGTTCTTGAATAAGCTATTTCTGGGAGGAATCGTCTTGAACATGACCAGTGATCGAAATTCACATATTTTTTGTTCTCATGAAAATGGCCAATTCGTTAAAACTGGTGTTTGATCAATCACATTTGTCCTGATACGGGTTGGGCTATCATCATTTCGATGATCCTCTCATCACAAAAAATAAGTGTATCTTTTTGCCTAAATATCATATCAAGTAGATTTATATTATAAGCGTGAAGCTTACATTGTATTGCATTTATATGAGGTAGAAATTTTTTTCTCACAAAAATATATTCCAGATTTGACTGAACTGAGTTGTGTTATCGGCAGAATCCTGAAGAACAACTCAAGTAATCCAATTGTGGATCCGATTGTATTGTTTGTCGCTCGATATACATATCCACAGGGCTCGAAGAAATATTCAGCAGAACCATTGAAGTACGTTGTTTAGATCCATGCAATACTATACATAGAAAATATTACGTATATATATAAGGCACTCATCATATGATTTTTTCTCTTTTTTTCAGATTCCAAACGCAGTCCACTTGAGGGCTCTTGGGGGAGATTCTCTAAATAAAGTGGACATTATTTTGTTGAGTTATCAATTTTTGATTTTTAATTTCGTGTTCATACCCATTTGAACCCCGATATTGATTTAATATATGCAATCAATTTTGGTATTGACTAATGATTTTCTGGTAAATTTGATATTTAGGTTGAACCACAATTGATTTTTGTGTTGATTATTGATTTTCTGTTGAATTTGATATTTGGTTCGAGAAACGATTGATTTTTGTGTTGATTATTGATGCTTATCTGATGAACTTGAAATTTGGCTCGACTTGAAATTGATGTTTGTGATGACTATTGATTTTTTAATGAATGTGATATTTAATTTAATGCTTTGGGTTAGCAAAACATTAAAATGAAATTCACAAGCATAATTGACTATTTCTCACAGTTTATGCTGATTTCCAAAAAACTAAACTAATAAAGTGCACATTTGCATTTGATATTCATTGAATGTGTTTGTCGTGGATTAGATTAGTTATTTGAATCAATTATCGAAAATGGGACGAAGAAAAATCGTTCGTACACCTGAAGAAGAAGAACAATGTAAACGGAGAAAACGTGAATATAATAAGGAGTATCAACGTGCATTGCGCGAGAATTAAAAAAGAGCACAAGCAGAAAGCTCATCATCAATACAGGTTGTGCTCACAAATCCATGTAATTCGAATCAATCAGCTATTCCACACGGTATGTCCACTCAACCACTTTTAGCAGAGAATTTTTCACAGGCATGTCTTCTTGAAGCTAATGATGATCGAATTCTATCAGCAGCAGTCAATGTTAATAATGTCAAACGACATTATGGTGGTAAGATGTCTGAGATTTGTAAGCATTGTAAGGCAAAACATTATCGCTGTGAGATCGTCTCACAAAAAAGAGATTCATTTTTCGATTGCTGTTCACACGGGAAAGTGAAGTTGGATCCATTGCCACCGTTTCCCAACCAATTNTTTCACAGGCATGTCTTCTTAAAGCTAATGATGATCGAATTCTATCAGCAGCAGTCAATGTTAATAATGTCAAACGACATTATGGTGATAAGATGTCTGAGATTTGTAAGCATTGTAAGGCAAAACATTATCGCTGTGAGATCGTCTCACAAAAAAGAGATTCATTTTTCGATTGCTGTTCACACGGGAAAGTGAAGTTGGATCCATTGCCACCGTTTCCCAACCAATTGTTACCTCTCTTCGATGGCTCGCATGTAAAATCTTCTTTATTTTTCGAACGAATTCGAGCTTATAATAGTTCTTTTTCGTTCGCCTCCTTCAATACCAACTTGGTGAATTTCAATAACAGCAGACCAGGTCCCTTTTGTTTCAAAATCCAAGGTCAAATTTATTATCAGATGAATACTTCGGGTTACCGCCGACACAATGAATTACCTTCTTTTGGACAATTATTCATAGTTGACTCTGAAGAAGCAGTCAATAGTGTACACACTCAATTTGCTGATTTGGATCGTGATATATTGAAAATAATTGATCAAACTATGCGTGATCATAATGAGTTTGCAAAATCTTATCATATGATGGCTGAGGAATTACGTGCACAACAAAATATGAATCATGATAATGCACCAAACAACGAACTGCATTTAATATTTGAGTCAGGGGAAAAACTCGATCGCAACCGATATAATGTTCAACGTTCGAATGAGGTGACTGCGATTTTTTCCACGACTGCGGATGGAGATATCCCTGAGACTTATGTGACAGTTCGAAACAAGAAGGACAAAGAACTGAAATTTGTGAGCACTATGGATAAGAACGTCGAACCATGGGTATATCCTTTGTTTTGTCCACATGGCACGCCTGGTTGGGATAAAGAACTCAAGCTGATTATAAATAATGATGAAAACCACGTGCAGGGATTGAAAAAACCTAGAACTCGTGTTACCAGGGAAGCCTATACTAAATACAGAATGGCAGTACGAAATAATGAATCTTTCAATCCTATAATATCAGGTCGACGATTATTCCAACAATGGCTCGTGGATAGTTACGTAAAAGTAGAGAAAGATCGCTTAGATTTTCTCAGATTCCATCAAAAAGACATACGGACTGAATCATATTCGGGGTTGGCCGATTATTTGCAGGGTGTCGCAGATGATAGGGACGCTCAGGTTGGTAAAATGATAATCTTACCATCTACTTTTGTAGGATCACCTAGGAACATGGTGCAATATTATCAGGATGCTATGATGTTGGTACGTAAATTCGGCAAACCTGATCTCTTCATTACGATGACATGTAACCCAAATTGGATTGAAATCAAAGAAAATCTTGATGACGGTTATCAAACAGCTGACAGGCCAGACATCTGTAGTCGAGTATTCAATATGAAACTCAAACATTTAATGGAGTTGATTGTGAAGAAAAAAATTTTTGGGGAAGTAACTGCTCATGTATATACAATTGAATCTCAAAAGCGGGGATTGCTCCATGTCCATTTGTTGGTAACATTAAAGAACAAGTTATTGAATGCTGAAGAGATAGATAAGATTATCTCGGCAGAAATTCCAGATCCAAATTTGTATCCAGAATTGCATAGGATTGTATTAAAGCATATGATTCATGACCCCTGCGGTGATTGGTGTTTTAGAAATGGAAAGTGCTCGAAACGTTTTCCAAAGCCATTCCAATCGGATACGAGGCTTGATGCTCATAGTCATCCAACATACTGTAGGAGAGACACTGGACACCGATATGAACTCCCTGGAGGACGAATGGTTGATAATCGATAGGTCGTGCCCTATTGTGCTCTTCTATCTGTGATCTTCGACTGCCACATTAATGTAGAAGTTGTTGCAAGTGTTGATGCGCCAAAATATATTTACAAGTATATCTATAAAGGCCATGATGCTGCATCAATTAGAGTGTCAACGAGACCAAATGACAACGTGGATGGACCAGGAGGTCCTCAAGTTGTGAATCGAGACGAAATACAAGATCATGTTGAAGCAAGATACGTCGGGCCAAATGAAGCATACTGGCATATTTGTGATAAAAAAATGCAGGAAAAAAGCCATCCTGTAATTAGATTAACTGTCCATCTCCCCAATGAACATAGTGTCACGCTTCCTACGAGCATGGATGAAGAATCAATTCGAGAAGCAATGACTGGTACATCAACGCTCATTGAATATTTCCGATTGAACGCCAGAGATCCTAATGCTCACCAGTATACGTATTCAGACATTCCATCTCATTACACATATAAGAAAATGGTTATGAATGGCCAAAAGGTGAAGAAATGGGTACAGCGCGGCAATTATGTCAATTCGATCGGACGTATGTACTTGGTGAACCCGCGCAAGACTGAATTATTTCATCTTCGGCTTCTGTTATTAAATGTGAAA